GAGAGAGAGAGAGAGAGAGAGAGAGAGAGAGAGAGAGACCTGTGACCTGTCCAGGGCACCCATCCTGGCTGGGGGTGCAGGGGGAGGCACTGGCCCTGCTCTTGTTGAGAGGAGAGTTGTATATGGTCTGCAGACAGGTCAGGAAAAACCTGGTCTCCCAGCAAGCTTGAGGAAGGGGTGGGGCTCTAGTGATGCTCTGGCGACACTCAGTTTTCACGAACTGAGTTACGGAACGGTGCCATCACGGGGCCTGCTGTGTAGGTGCTTTTCCCACTTAATTCTCACGGTCACCCTCTGCAGAAGCCCTCGTTAGGCCCATCGTGCAGATGACAGAACTGAGCCTCAGAGACATGCCCCAGCGATGCAATTAGGAAATGGTAGAACTGGGGTCCACACCTACCCTGTCTGATGCCACTCTTGTGCCCTCCCCCTTCTTCCCCTTCCCATCCTCCCCCTCCTCCTCCTCCTCCTCCTCCCCCTCTCTCCCTCTAGGGAAAATTCACCTCTGTGGGCTCCTTGATTGGCTATGCAATCTCTGCTTGCATCCCCCTGCAAGTGGGAGCTCGTTCCCTCCCAGGACAGCCCTTTCAACTCCTCTGGGGAGAGTCTTTTGTCACCCAAAGCTGACCCTTCTCCCTCTCCATGGTTCTGCAGGTCTCCATACCACGCCCCCCCCCTCCCCAACTTCACCAGAGCCTGGCCACAGAATCTTCTCTGCTCCAGACCAGACCTCCCTTACCTTGACTGCTCCTGTGTGTAATCAGGTTTCCCAGGTGAAATTCGTACAATAATAATTTCTTTCAAAAATCTCAGCACATCTAATTGGTTAGCTATTGTTTGAGAACTCTAAGGGAAACCCCTCAGCATGGTGAGTGGCTGGTGTCTTGGGGGGAAGTATTCAAATAACTGCATCAACCACTTGCCCTACTGCCATCTAGCCATGGGGTCAGGATTATAGGGAGGGGAGTTGAGTCAGACACACAGAACTTTCAGGCTGGGAATGGTTGCTAATGGTATATTCTCTAAAGAGTACAAGAGATGGGAGGGTCACGTTGGACTTCCAGCAGACACATGGAAAATGGCGATGCAGAGGGCAAGATTACCTTTGATTTGCCCTTGATTCCATGCTTCTCTGACACATTTTTTCAGAGAAAAATGCCATTATTTTATTGGTATCTTGGATATTACTAAGAACCAGCCAGAACCAAGTGGAATTTATTCCAGGAATGCAAGTTTGGTTTAATATTAGAGAATCCATTGTGTTAGTTTGCTAGGGCTTCCATAGCAAAATTCCCCAAACTAGGACACTTAAACAGCAGAAATGTATTGTCTCACAGTTCTAGAGCCTAGAAGTCCAAGATCACGTGTCATCAGGGTTGGGACCTTCTGAGGGCTGTGAAGGAGAATCCATTCCATGCCTTCCTCCTAGCTTCTGGTGGCTTGCTGGCATTTCTCGTGTAGCCACAACACCCTGATCTATATGTTCACGTTCACATGTGTTCTCCCTTTGTGTGTATCTATCTCTGCGTCCAAATTTCCCCTTTTTATAGAGACACCAGTCATATTGGAGGAGGGCCCACTTTAATGACCTCCTTTCTTGATCACTTCTTTAAAGAACCCATTTCCAAGTAAGATTACATTCTGAGGTACTGGGGGTTAGACTTCAATGTCTTCTGGGGGATGCAAGTGAACCCATAATAAGCACGTGCCATATTAATGAATCTAAGAGGAAAACCATATGATATTCTCTATAGACACCAAGAAAGCCTCTAACAAGATTCAACACCCATTCATGATAAAAATACTCAGCGACATAGGAAGTGAGGGATACTTTTTCAAATGATAAAATGTGGTTCTAAAGCCAGCATCTTCTTTCATCAAAGAAACACTAAAAGCATTTCCATGAAGATGAGGAAGCAGGCAAGAATGGCCACTCACTCCACCACTATTCCACATTGTACTAGAGGTATTGGCCAATGCAATTAGACAAGATAAATCAATTGGAGGCCTGACAATAAGTAAAGAAGAAACAAAACTACCTGAAAAACCACAGAG